GACTTCAGATGGAACAAGGAATTCAGTCACAGACTTGCTATTTCAAAACTATACCCTAAATCTGCCTCCCAACACCCTTCAAAAAATACAACAAAATGTATTTTCAACTTCTTAAAAAAGTCTTTTTTAGAAAAGTCATCTGCATATAAAACCTTTATTATGCTACAAAATCCACTGCTCTACTGATTATTTCAATAACACAGTTAAACAAATCTTTATGGGCATAAAACTAGAAAGCAATAAGAGTTATTAGTCCCTGAGTGGGGCTCACTGTCTTATCAACACAAGCTCTCTCGTTGACAGCACATAGCTGGCACTGCTGTTATTCCAATTAATTAGTCACACAAACTAAATGTTTGCAGTTGTGCCAGAGAAAATTTAAAACCACCTGGGAGGAAAAGGTTTAAACACTTCTGGGAGAATTAAAAAACAGCCCCTTTTGTTATTGCTACTCATGACAACTTTAGTGCCAAACTAGAATCTAGTGATAGATCATCAGAGAGTTCCACAACCAAACAAGATGCTAACGTTCACACTGGCTCTGGTCGACAGCAACAAGTAATGAAACACACTGCAAGTAGAACTGTAGAGCCAAACAGCTGGTGCTGGGAATCTTCACAGTGTGTATTTCAGGCTGTGAAGGCTGTGATGCCTTCACAGTGTGTATTTCAGGAGTATTTACCACAGATTAGCTCAAGTCAGGCCCTGAATACCCATTAGCAGTTGGAGAACACCACATTTGCTCCTGCAGTGCATTTTTCAATTTTGTTTCATCCAGAAGCCTAGTGCAGACAGACCGAGACAGAGCACAACACAAACGCAAAGCACAGCACAAGACTACAACCCTAATTCAAACCAAAACACTAACATAAACCCACCACGCATGTCCTTATAGAGGCCTATGACATCAAACCTGAAGCAGCTGCCACGCTTACCTCATAGTTTCTGGCATTAGTGTTAGCTGCCTTCTCCAGCTCGATGCGAGCTCTTTTGTGGCTGAGCTCCATCTGCATCTTCTCCCGTTCCACCTGCAGGAGCTGGGACTTAGAATGGATCTGCCCAGCTTGTTCTTCCAACTGGCGAGTTCACATGTGGAGGGAGATATTACACATTAACAGCACTTCAGTAGCACATCCATTATCACCAGCCCTGCACCAGCCAGCTGACACTTGCATAGTACTTTATAAAATTAAAAGGAAATTATCACCTCATTTGTGTCTTCTCACGTAAGTTGCAGATTGGGAACCTAAGGCCAGGAGTTCAACAACACCCTCAGAAACCCATATCAAATCATTGTTAATTGGAAACAATTTTAAGTTCCTCAAAGAGATTTTCTCATCCAGCCTCCAGAGGCCCTCTATCCAACAAAAATATACTTTGCTATCTAAAAGAAGGTTAATTACAAATTCCCCAAGCCTCATAAAAGTAACAGCAAGCAGCCAAGAAGCAGAGATCATTTTCCCCACGAAATTCAACTGTTAAGCAAAAGAGCATGTTTTTCAGTAACATTTTAGGACTAAACGCTCTACGCAAAGATATTTTAAAGCACAGATAATATTAAAAGAACACATCACGCCTAAGCAATATATAAGCACCACATATCTAATCAAGGCTCTGTAACCAGAAAGTGCACAAATTTTTGCCAGCAATCTAAATGCAAAGGAGATTTACATTAAAAAGGCAAATATAGGCTTACTTTATATTTAGAGATTTAAATAGAAACGATGTCAAGAAATAGAATGCAGAAACTCCTTCAGTCTAACGTAAAGCCCTTATGATCCAAGATGTCATCTTACTACAAGTAGTATGAACACAAAGCAAGACAAAAACAGAAAGGCATCCTTCAGAAGAAGGAAAAAAAAATCACTGCAATACATGGATTTTTAAACAAAGGAAAACAAGGAGTAAAACTGCTTAGCACATCGAAGCCAAAACACAAGCCTCCTGTAAGAAGTCTCCTGTAGGCATCAAGGCAAAGAAACTTTAAAAGAAGGTGAAAAATGGTAACAGGATAACTTACTGGAAAGATCCCTATTAGGCTCAGTGGATTGCAGACAACTTATGAATTAATTTTCTGAGCTCATATGAAGATATAATTGGGAAAAGGAAATTCAAAGGACTTTCCTTAAATTTTCACAAGACAAAAATACACTTAAAGCTAATGTTTAAAAAAATAAAGATGGTAGAATGTTCACCCACGGCAAACTTTTGCACTGCTGACTGTACATGAGCAATTTCAGAAAGAACGGTCAAGTCTTAATGAAATCAATCTCAATGTGTAGAATCAGAAGGCATTTAGCCCCAGCATCACTTCGGTGTGGATATATGAGAAAGTGTTTGACCCCTCACCTGCAGCCTCTGCAAATACTGCATCTGCAGGGAGCTCTGAGAGGAGCCTGGTGTAGACAGCCCAGACGCCCCTTCCACACGCTGTGCAATGAAGTTGTTGAGGGATCTCAGCGTGGAGAAGACAGTGGTATTGTTTTCCAAGTCCTCCATGGCTCTGCAAAGGCAAAAAAAGTTGTCAGCAAAACGTTCAGAGCAAAACATCGAGACTGGCTGCTCTGCTCAAGGCCAAAGACACTGCCCTGGATACAAGACCAGGACCTACCTGTAGTCACTGCTAATGGATTCACAGGTTACTGCTAGGTTTGGGTGAACCAGAAAACACCAACTGAGCCTAAAAATTGAGAGATTGATGCAAGATCTCTCCCCGCTTAGCTCTCCACCAGAAACTGTGTATCTGTATTTAAATAGTTTCCCCTGAGTCTCAGACCCCAAGTACACAAACATGCAAGAGCAAATTCTCCTGAATCAGAAGGAAGCTGGGGTAGGAGCTACCCTGTGCCAGGGAGATGCACAGGGCACAGCATGAACAAACCAGGCCCTCGCTGCTCCTCCCCAACTCACTTCCAGGGCTTGGAAGGGACCATAACCCAACCTGGTAGCAACATCTACCACAGATGAGGCAGCGACCTGATTCTTGTTTCCAAAAAGCACTTCGGAAAACAGCTTCTACAGGGGAGACTTCCCAAGCTCACAGGCCACTTCTGGAAGTGCAACTGCAGCTCCCTGCACAGACTTTCACAACTCTCACTTCCAAGGGGTTCACCTGGGGCGAGTGGGACACAGGCACAAGAGACCAGGAGCCAAGAGGCAGCCGGGCTTCCGAGCGCCGCTGCGGACACGGGGCAGGTGACACAATTTACAGGGGACAACAAA